CAGGTCACAGTTCATCAGGGAGCCCATAGTAGGAACTCAGGACAGGAACCTGGAAGCAGGAGCTGGAGCACAGGCCATGGAGGAACACTGCTTACTGGGTTGTTCCCCTGGCCCCCCTTCTTTCTTATACAGCAGAGGCCCACCTACCCAGGGGTGGCACTATCCACAGTGGTCTGGGCCCTCCCACATAACTCAGTAATCAAGAAGATTCCCCCATAGACATGGCTATAGGCCAGTCCAATGGAGGCAATTCCCCAATTGAAGCTCCCTCAACCTAGGTGTGTCAAGTTGACACTAAAACCATCCAACTCACAAGTAAATGTAATGGTATGAATCATTTACAAAAGTCTCAGTTGTCCAGTTTTTAAAAAAAATATTTTATTTTCTTATTTTTATTTTATGTGTATGAGTGTATTGCCTGCATGTATGTGAGTGCACCTGTGTAGTGCAATGCCATGGAGGTCAGAAGAGGGCTTCGTATTCCCCTGGAACCGGACTTAAGGATGGTTCGTAGCTGCCATGTGGGTGCTGGGAATTGAACCCAGGTCCTCTGTGAGAGCAGTCAGTGCTCTTAACCGCTGAGCCATCTCTCCAGCCCCGTCCAGTTTTTTTAAAAGCACAAAAATAGTGTATAGAATGTAATTATTAATCTTCATGTCAACCTGAGGGAATGAAGCATATCCTGAGGTGTGTTTGTGAGGGTGTTCCATAAAGGGTTAACTAAGGGGGTACAACCCACCCTGAGTATGGGTGTCACTGTCTCTCAGACTGGAGGCCCAGATTGATAAAAGGGGGGAAAGGAGAATGCTGAAGAACATCATTTCCTTTTGGGACTTCTTGGCCTGCCATAACATGAATGGCTGTTCCACTGTGTCCTCCCACCATCATGGACCGATACTCTGAAACAATGAGCAAAATATAATCTCTTCTCCCATAAGTTGGTTATGACAGGCATATGGTTAAAGCAACAAGGAAAGTAGCTAATATTTGAGTCATGTGAAAATGCTAACAGCTGAGAAACAATGGCAAGGGTCCCAATTTCATAAAGTTTTTAAAAAGTAACAGTCAAGAACAAAAGGGAGGGTGTGGTCAGTCTCATGTCTTCAGGCACCAACTCCAGACCCTGAGGACTCTAGTAGAGCAAAACGTGATTTATTACACCCAGGTAATTTTAGGTGTTTTAGTAGCAGATGGTCAGAGAAAAGTCAGAAAGAAATCTCATTTAAAAAAAAAATCATTCTCTAAGGCATCCCCATGATGATTTTGAATATAACCCTAAAGAATTCCTCAGAAATACACCTATGTGCAAAAATCAAAGCAAGCAAAACATACAAGAATAGAGACTGATCTCTTACTTTCACAGAGGTCACTCCAAATATAATAAAATCTTATCTTAACCTTCAAACTTCAGATGCTATTAGAATCCAAGACTATCACCTCAAGTCAAATTGTCCTTTAATTAGAAAGACAAAAGGAAAAAGAATGCCAAGCATTAATCATATCTATGAGGATGGATTTGAAAGAAACAGTTGGTACTGAAATCTAGCCAATAAAATAATTGAGAATGGGCGAATGAGAAGTAGAAGATCAGAAGTAGCTTGGCAGAAAGAGATGTCCTAAGTACAGTGCTTAGGAAGTGCAAATTTGTGAAGGATAGGAAGTATAAAGCAAACATTTATTCTCAGGTGTTGTTCTTAGACTACAAAAATAAATGCTCAACAAATATGCAGTTGTCACAGCCTTTGTTTAGAAAAAATAAAACAAGGTTATGAAGATGAATCAGTGGGTAAAATGCTTGTCCTACCAGCATGAAGACCAGAGTGTACATCCTTAGAACCCACATCAAGCCAGATGTAGTAGCACATGTCTGTAATCCCAGCACTGTACTGTGAGCTGGGGGAATGTGTAATACCCCAGAAGCTCATGGGTATGTGCAGTAGTGAACAACAGACCCTGTCTCAAACAAAATGGAAGGTGAGGACTGACTGTCAAGGCTGTCCTTTGACCCTGACACATGCACACACCAACATTCACACACACCTACACCTCCCCTGCCCCCACCCCCCACCACACTCTGTACACCTACAAAACCCAACAAAAATTCACAAAAACTCTTGTAGAGGAATATAATCCAGTGGAGAAATATATTAAAATGAATGATTTAAAAGTAGAGAAATATTAAAGTCAATTTTCTGAATACAGACATTATGTGTAAAGTATGTGGATAATGGCTACAGAATAAGATATCCAATAACTTTATCACATATGAACTAGGAGCCAGATCTAGGTGGTGTATTTCGAAGTCAAACCATACCATCTCCTCTTCTTTCCCAGAAAGATGTTGACACTGACTTCCAATTGCATTGGGTTGTCATTAAGTTCCAGTGTCTTCATCATGTTGGTCAGATGTTTATTTAATAATTAGAAATTAATCTCTGCATGTTAAGCATTATCCATGTCTTTAGGTATATAACATTTAATATTCTTTATTAAACTTACTTTAAAATATGACATGCACATTACCATCCTCCAATAGAATTTATGTCTTCAACCCATCATGTTGTCCTTATAACCCATTTACTTCATCTATTACTGAGTTATCAAAATAGTACGCATCTAACATTCATTGTTACTTTGGTGCCTTTTTTTTTTTTTACTTCTGAAAAAGCCAAACTTCTTTTCCATGTTGTTTAATAGAATATATATTGTTTTTCTTGACATAAATTTTTGTTCTTTAATACAGCTGGCAAAGTTTCGAACTCTGTTAAGCATTTGCCAATGGTTAAAACAAAGAACAACAAACATGAATGTTTCTTTTCTCAATGATTCAAAATCCTATTCTTAAGAAATTCACCTAGTTTTTTGATGCTTAAGAACTTAAATCATTATATGCCTCATGTTCATATCACATATATCAATTCTGTGTACGTAACAGGAAATTTAGAAGTGAATCATTTTTTTCCAAATTCGGAATTTTGGGAGATCATGTTAAGATATGTTGCCGTGGTTGCCTTAATTTTTATCTGTCAAGTTGGAAACTCCTGATCATCCATGCAAGCAGTTCACCCTGACACAGTACCACAGGTATTGGCAGAAGACCTGAGACACCAGGACCAGTGAAGCAATAAGTCACTACTCACAGCCACAGTAGCAGGACAGAGCTTGTTTCTGAGTTGCAACTCTCACAGAGAGACGCAGCAGGCTTAGTTGTTGCCTGACAGTAGGGCGCATTATAACGAAGCTTGATGTTAAGAAAGTCTGGCTTCATACAAGGGTGGCTGACAAAACAGCTCATCTTTTGGTCACATGGGAGACATTATCTTTATGACTGGAATGTTTTGGAAATCTGCTTCAGGGAGATTGCTGTCTGTGTCTTGACTTTCTAAAAAATAAGCAAATCTGCAGGAGGAAGGGGCATATCTGTTGCTGTAAGTGGCCTGTTATGCAAACGTCATGAAAGACAGTCTGGAGCAAATTAACTGCTAAAGTCTTTGAAAATATTTGGATACGTGTGAGGCGTATGTAGATATGATTTGTTGGTGAAACTTAATATATTGCACAATGGGAGTTGATTTCTATTGTAGTATTAATATATATCTGCTGGCATGGAAGGCTTGTTTTTGTTTTTCAACTTTGTCTTTGAACTTTGTACTCAATACCAATTTTAAGTGGAAATGAAATCTTAAGATTTATCAGCCAACTACTCTCTGCAGAAAGCTAAGTTCTTGAGACCTTCTCATTCTCCAATATGTTCTTAAAATTATGTGAAATTAAGCTATTGACTAGATAACACCCTTGGAGGAGCAGGTCCATATTAGGAACAGTATCATATTTTAGAACTATACATTGCAAGTATAATGAATGTAGTGCCGGTATGAGCTATGAGATTTGTTCCAGGGATATTATTACAGCACAGGTACTAAAAGAGAATTCCATGTAGTAATTTGCAGTTTGTGTCTGTTTTAATTGTAGAAAAACTTGAAGCAAGTGAAAGTGATGCTATAATAAGTATCTTAGTAGGAAAGTTTATATGTTATATTAAACATATCTATATCTACTTTTTTTTGTCCCTTTTTGAGACAGGGTCTCCCTGTAGCCCCAGATGTCCTGGGACTCACTGTGTAGACCAGGCTGGCTTCGAACTCACAGAGATCCTCCTGCCTCTGCCTCCCAAGTGCTGGAATCAAAGGTGTGTGTCTCCACTCCCAGCTCTATATCTATTTTTATCTCTATCCCTATCCTTATCTCTCTATTTATTTATTTCTCTATCTATATTTATATATTCTTTCTTCTAAATATAGTGTGGGGCTACCTGTCTTTTGCATATTTGTTTTGTTGTTGTTGTTGTTTGTTTGTTCGTTTTAGATAGGATCTCACTATATAGCCCTGGTTGACTTCAGACTCATAGAGATCTGTCTGCCTTTGCCTCCTGAGTCCTGGGATTAATGGTGTGTACCACCATGCCAAATGAGACTACTTATAACAAGCTTCTGGCAGAGTGTCTTTACTGTTTTTTAATTCCAAATCCAAGTTTTATTTTTCTTGCACAGGTACTGTTGAAATTTCTTACTGTTTCCTCTGCTTTGGCTCTGCAGGTTGAGGGAAATTAATTCTTTGTAACTATGGTATTTAACATATATCCACAATCCTACCATTGCTGCCTAACCGGTCTTTCTATTTTAGTCCCTCAACATCCTCTGCAATAAATTCTTCATATAATGTAAACCAGACTGCTTGCCTATTCCTGAATATTTTCTAGGTCTCCTACAGCTTTCTTATCAGAATCAGTTTCTTATATTCTTATATGATAAAAAATATTCATTATTCATGGATTAATTGAAATGTCTTTCTTGTGGTGGTCTGCTAAATTTCAGCCCAAATTCATTTTCATCATGTATGTGTCTGTCTTAGAGCAGGTATGTTGCTTTCTAATGAGGCTGCTTAGTACATGTTTGGTCTATCTAAGCTATAAATGTCTTCCTTTGTTGCTTTCTCCCTAGCATGTTAAAGTCACATCTGGGACTCTGGACCACATCAGCAGAGACATTCAGTGTGTTGCCTCAGACCAGTGCTACAATTTTGTCTGTGTGAATGTAAGTAGTAAATATGAATGAGTGAAAGCGCATGAGGAGCCACGCAAACGCAATGCCAGAGACAATGCATTCTTCTTGTTCCTTAAATATTTCACTAGAAGATTTTGGTACATGAGTTGTGTCATTCTGTATGCTTAAAATGTATTTTTTGTCCTTTCAAGTAGGAAAATACTGGTTTTTTTTTTTTTGGTCTTTTTGAGAGAGTGTCTCTCTGTAGCCCCAGCTGTCCTGGAGCTTTACATAATGTTATGCAACTACTTTTTCTTTTCTTTCTTTTTTTTTTTTTTTTTTTGGTGTTTTTGAGACAGGGTCTCCCGGTAGCTACATCTGGCCTGGAACTCACTATGTAGATCAGGCTGGCCTTGATCTCACAGATCCGACTGCCTCTGCCTCCCAAGTGCTGGGATTAAAGGCGTGTGCTACCACGCCCGGCTACTTTTTCTATAGACACTATTATGTTTTCAACTTTCTGTTTGTACTTTGTATAAAATAGGTAATAAAAGATATGTTCAAACTGGGAAACAGGTCAAATTTTTTAAAAGTTATTTATTCTCTTATTTTTTGAAGATTTCATCCATTAGTACCATATTATGATTTCCACCCCTTCCCACCTCCACTCTTCCCACGTTCTACCCCTTTCCTCTTAATTTCATGACTTGTCCTTGATTATTATTGTCATGCATATAATCTGTTATTTTAGTGGTGCTTGTACGTTTATGTATTTAGGGCTGCCAATTTTGGATTGGATAACCTCTCAGGGTAGTCTATAGGTGTCTTTTAAAGTTCTTTAATGGTTAATTCTGATAAATATTTTGAATATTATTTAAACTTCATTTTTTCCCCACAAGTTAATTTTAGCATCATGTAAGAATTTTTTCTTTCTTTCTTTTTTCCTTTTATTCCCCTGTGTTTGAGGTTATGTCATCTGATTTTCAAGAAACTCAGAAATTATTGAGTGTGCTCGAAAAGAACCGCCTTTCTGTTTTGTGTCCTGTAGTTGTTGTTTCGGTAAGTGAGCATGTGCCGTTTTTTTTCATTCTGTCTTTCCTTCTTGATAACTTATGTGTCTATCTGACAAAATTGTATTGAATTGTGAGAGGCCACCAACATGAAGAAGCAGCTTTCAGATGCTTAGGCCGAGTCTTCATCTGACTTCTACAGGCTCCGGTCTTTGTTACTGTGATCATGTGGCTCAATGATAGGTTGGAAAACTAGTTAATTCCACTAGCAATCTATTTATTGTCTTTATCTTCATTGAAGTTACAAAGCACATGGCTAAGTTGACTAGTTATTAAGATAATGTACAAGAGTTCTATTTAGCATATCAGTCTAACATAACAAAAGAAACCATGAAAGAAATCCTAAGGTTTAAAAAAATGTGACGAAAATATATGATGGAAGAAAATTATTCTTGTTTCTCTGGTCTATAGAAAATGTACATAGAATGAGTAAGTGATTAAAGAGAATTTCTAGAGGAATAGTGGCCTGGAAAATTTTTGGAGTGTGTGTGTGACTGAAAGTATATGTTGAGTGAAGAATTTACTTGATGAGCTTGTTACATTCTGTAACAGAGGAAGATATTAGAGAGCAAAGCCAAGGAGAAAAAAGATCAGAAACCATGCCAGTCTAACAGGTGGAGGAGCAGGGTCTGAAGTCTGCAGCATTCTACTGGGGGAAAGGGTTCCAAACATTTTCACAAATGCTTAACAACTGCCCAATCTTAAAGCTCAGGCCCACCCCATAGTGTGGGAACTTAATTTTTGTTATAGGTAAGATAGTTTATACACAATAAAGATAATACTTTGTTTTAAAGATAACTTTAATATGAGCAATACAAGTAGAAACAGGTAAGCAGCTGGTGGGGGTGAGGAATCTTTCATTCTTTGCCTACTCTATTTGGTTACACACCCTAAAATAGGTTCTAGGAGTGCAACTAGTTATGAAAGCACATCACATATGAGCAATTTCGAGAGAAACATAGAGACTTTCATTGAGCTTGTTAGGAAGGGTTAGAGTGAGCCCATTGGTGGAAGGCTTGAAGGCTTTGAGGAATAGAGGATAAGTTTGAAGTCCTGGGTTGGGCTCTCTTCCAGTTTCACATGTTTGCTTAGCAATCTTTACTCCATGTTCTCCGGTGAGGTGCGAAGAGGCCAAACAGTTTTGTAAAAGCACACAGATGCCTTGGTTTCTTTATCATGATGTTTAAAATGAGATTCATTTTCCTGAGTGTAGAAAGAAAGTTTATAACCCGTAAGTTGTACAGATTAGAGTGTGAGTGCAAGCAGACCGCCAGAGAGTGCCGAGTTCTGCACTCCCTCTATCTAGGCTGCCTCTGACAGAGGGCCTGAGAACACAGGCGACTGCCTTAGAGCCCCTATTCCTGCCGGTGGTGAGCTTCCCCTAATTGCTCCATACTCATCCCCCTACCTGGGATTTTGTGAGGCCCCTCTCAAGACCCCAGGGCAGATCTGGCTTTAGTAGGCTAAGGCTTAGATCCTAGCAGACAGCCTGAGGGGGTGGGTCTCAACCTCCATTGGTGTAGTGGCTCTGATCTCAGCAGACCACCAGAGAGTGCTGAGTTCTGGCCTCCATTTGGCAGAGGGCCTGAGAATGCAGGGAATTGCCTGAGAGCCCATGATCCTGCCTTCACATGGTGAAGGAAGTCTAAATGTACCTGACCGGAACCTGAATTGGGCTTCTGTGGGTACTCTTGAATAGCTGATCTGAAGTCATCAGTTCCCTCCAAATTAAACCTGAGAGAACCTGAACCCTGTACCCACCAGCTTTAATAACCAATAAAGAAAGGGTGTAGGCACCCCGATAATACAAACAGAAGCATACTTCAACTTAATTCTCATATCAGAATAATAAACAACAAAAGAAATTCACATGCCAAAATCACAACGAAGGAATAATAAAACGGAAAGCCAAAACACTGTGTCCCCACCAAACTCCACCAATCCTGTAGAAGAGTTCTACAAGGAGAACCTCTCCCGTAGAGATAACCCAGGACACTGAATTAAAAAGAACAGTCATAAAGATGATTAAGGAATTCAGCAAATTTAAAGAACACATGAACAAACAAATCAGCTAGAAGAAGATAGGGATAAACTTCTGAATGAATTCACAAAAGAGATAGAAACATTGAAGAAAACTCATGCAGAAATGAAGAAGGAAGTGCAAAACTCAATAAGCCAACTTGAAACAACAGGGGAAAACCTCATCAACTAGAATGAATGAAATGGAAAGCAGAATATCAACACTGGAGGATAAAGTTGAAGATTTGGACCATTCAAACAAAGATTATGGAAAATTTAAAAAACATAAGAATGGAATATGTAAGAGATGTGGGACACCATGGAAAGACCAAATATGTAGATCATAGGAATAGAGGAAGGAGAAGAATTTCAGGTTAATGGTATTGACCAGATCTTAAACAGGATTGTAGAAGAGAATTTCCCAAAATTAGGAAAGACATCCCCATACAAATACAGGAAGCACATAGAACACCAAATAGACAGGATCAGAAAAGAAACTCCCCACAACATATAGTAAAAACACTAAATGTACAATATGAACAAAGAGAGTATACTGAAAGCAGCAAAAGAAAAACAAGTCACATACAAAGGAAAACCCATCAGAATTACAGCTGACTTATCAATGCAAAGTATGAAAGCCAGAAGAGCCTAGACCAAGGTATTTCCAGCTCTACATGACAACCGATGCCAGAGATGCCAGCCCAGAATACTTTACTCAGCAAAAATGTCTATTATAGCTGAGGGGGAAAGAAAAATCTTCCATGACACAAAAAGCCTCAAAGAATACATGTCCAAAAAATCAGCCCTTCAAATAATACTTGAAGCAATACAGAGAGCAGAGAGATAAACAACTATACCCTAGGGGCAATGAAAGAAAGTAAAGGTATAATCTAGGAAACACAAAATTACACAGAAACCATAAACAGCAATCAAAATGATGGCAACCAATACACATCTTTCAATAATAACCTTAAATATCAATGGAATGAACTCCCCAGTCAAAAGACACAGGCTAAGTGAATGGATTAAAAGACAAAAATCCATCTCTTTGCTGTCTGCAAGAAACCTATGTCACCTTCAAGGACAGGTACTACCTTAAGGTAAAAAGATGGAAAAGAATATGCCAAACAAATGGCACTAAGAAACAAGCAAAGGTTGCAGTTCTGACAAAAAAGATTCAAAGTAAGGAGGGTCACTTCATTCTGATCAAAGGAATAGTTATCCAAGAAGATATTATAATCTTTACCATATATGCACCAAACTCTGGGGCACCCAAATTCCTAAAAACAACATTATAGGACTTTAAGACACAGGTTAACCCCAACTCAGTAGTAGCAGGCGAATTCAATACCCCACTGTTTCAATTAGACAGGTCAACTGCACAAAGAATAAACAGAGAGATGTCTGAATTAAATGATACCATACATCAAATGGACCTGACAGACATCTTGCAAATATTCCACCCAAGTACCAAAGATTACACTTTCTACTCAGCACCCCATGGAACTTTTTCAAAAATTTACCACATACTGGGCCGCAAAACAAACCTCAACAAATACAAAGCAATTGAAATAATTCCATGTGCTCTATCGGACCACAATGCAATAAAGGTCAAAATCAACACTGGACAAAGCCCTAGCCACTACATGAACTCGTGGCGATCAAACAACACACTCCTAAACAATGAGTGGTCAAAGGAGAAATTAAGAAAGAAATAAAAGAATTCCTGGAATTCAACGAAAAGGACAATACAACACAACACAACCTCTGGGACACATTAAAAGCAGTGCTAAGAGGGAAGCTTATAACTCTTAACTGCCTACATTAAAAAATTAGATAGAGCCCAAATAAATGACCTAACACTGCAACTCAAGACATTGGAAAGGCAAGAACAAATGAAACCCAAACCCAGCAGAAGAGAAGAAACAACAAAAATCAGAGCAGAAATTAATGAAATAGAAACAAAGAAAACAATACAAAGAACCAATGAATCTAAGAGCTGGTTCTTTCAAAAGCTAAACAAAATAGACAGATCCTTAGCCCAGTTAATGAAAAGAAAAAAACAAGCAAATCAAATCAACAAAATCTGAGCTGAAAGGAGAAATATCACAACAGACACCCAAAAGATCCAGACCATTATAAGGGAATATTTAAAAAACATGTATGCTAGTAAATCTGAAAATCTAAAAGAAATGGATGGATATCTGTAATCATGTGAACCACCAACAGTTTAAACAGACCCTTAACATATGAGGAAATTGAAACAGTAATACAAAGCCTCCCAACTAAAAAAAGCCCAGGCTTAAATGGATTTACCTCAGAATTCTACCAGACATTTGAAGAAGACCTCCAACCAATACTACTTAAATTATCAAAATGATAGAAACAGAGGGAGAGTTCCCAAATTCCTTCTATGAAGTCAACTTCACTCTATTTGGGAAGAACCCAATAGAGGGATGCTTTTGGAAGCCCTTGTCAAGAAACTCCAATGGACTTTCATATGAACATTTGAAAATTGCCCTGTTCTGACTTATTTCTAGGTTCCTGTCTAGAACTTGTGATGCTAAGTACTCTTGCCTACTTCTCCTTTACATCTCCTATTCAAGGACTTTCTTCTTCTCTTAAGGCAAGAGTTATGCAATTTGATAGTTTTTAGATAGACCCACTGAAGGGGTACTCCAATTGCCTCAACCTGCGTCCCTGTTCAGCATGGAAGAAGCCAGAGGGGTCGGCGTCCCTATTCCCTATTGGTAATTTGGGTAACCCCTTCGGAGGATGGTGTGATAAGAATAGGAGGTAGGAATTGGCTAGGCAGTTAGGGTAAAAAGACCCCAAAGAAATGTAGCCAGTGTCTTGGCTAAAAGTCAAAATGTCCTTGGGCCTCTTAGCAACATACTCTCTTCCAAAGGCCAAAAATGTCAAAAGTATTTGGGAGCTTGTATCTAATCCTTAAAAGATTTTAGGGTTACC